CGTTGTTAATTTGCTCTGACTTTAATCTTGCTAAAAAGGTATTTTTAATTTCTTTGATTCCTCATTTCATTGTTATTATTATTATTAGCTATATTTATATGAATGGGATTCCAAACTTGAAATTACATTATTTATTTTTAAATATATAAGTAAAATATTTTTCTGTAAATTTGTATACATTCTACAAAATTGGGAGCGGTTATCAAGTTTACTATTATGTACGTAGCATATATTACATTTTATGTCATATTATATTTAAGGGTTTATGTAGTAAAAAGAAATTTATTCTCGACTTGAGAACCTACTTCTTATTTTTTCTGTTTTAGTTGTATTATGTTTTAATTTCTTAATGTATAAAAATACCGTGGCACGACGTTCGTTCATGTTTATCTCCGAAACCGTTATAGCAATTTCAATGAAATTTTGTAAATATGTACTCTTTGCTTCGACTTAAGATATAGTTTTTTATCTAGATAAAAATACTCATAGGTTGAGTGGTAAGACAGCGTTCGCGAAGTCAGCTAGTCTTAAAATAAATTTGCTAATACATTATTTAAATTCATAATTATATCGTTATTACAAGCCATTGGCAAGGTCATAGCTTGTTGTTGTTGGATTGTGTGAATTTATAACATATTAGTTATTTTTTTATTTTATGTAATCAATATATTAAGTAACTTAGACAGATTTTCATGGGTATTACATAAAATGTGGATAAATTACTATTCCATATTGATAAATTTTAACATTTTTATAATTAAGTGGAAACCGAGAGCGGGAATATAAGTTTAATAACGATGAGACTTTAACCTTGAATAAAAAATAATAAAATTGAACTACTTATGTATTCGTTAAAGTGTTGAAACAAAGTTTTAAGGATTATTAGTAGAAAACTTGTACGAGTGTTGTTATGAATCGAATAGGTATTTTTGATAGAACTCTATCGGTGAATGGATAAAATAACATCGCAGTACCGGTGCTGTATATAGTAGACAATGACGGTGTTGGCTAATTATGCTAATTTACAAATGCCTGAGTAGCGTCTAAATAGAGTTTCGATAGAATAGTTTTGTACATTTACCACTACTTTTCAGCAGTATATTAAACACGAGACAGCAGAGCCACTCCACCAGTGAATTGATGCGGAAAATAATTTTAACAGATCCTTTGGTTAATTTAAAAGAAGTAAATAATGGTTCGCTTTGTGAATTAGTAGATGAGTGTACTTTATTTGCTAATGCAATTATAAAATCTATTATATAATTACAATAGAGAGAATAAAAGAACACACAATACATACACTTGTTATAAATACATTACGGCCTTATTGCTGAAAGTAATCTTTTCAAGGCAACCTTTAGATAACGGATTACATTTTGTAGAAAAAAGAAGGGGGAAAATTGATTGTGTTACAGATTTAATGCCAGATTGTGAATTCTCCTGAACTCCTTTCTACTGATTATATATGTACTCTAATGACTTTGAATGCATTGCCATTCTTTTGCTACTCCAAAGCTGTGTCTAAAAATGTTTTCATAATTTCATATTAAAAATATGTAAAACTAGTTTTGATCTCTGTAATCTAATCTAAAATGTGTTAATACCTATCAATGGTTGTTCAGAACAGAACAATAAAATTTATTTTAAATTACACAAGTTCGCTATTTGTTATCAGATCGTTAAAATTACGATTTATTTTGTTTAAAATCGTTTATTTAGTATTCATAATGAGTAACTTGTCGATACATTCAATTTTCTTTGTTTTTATTCTAACGATTATGTATTCAACATTTTTCTTTAAATTATTTTACAAACACACGTAACAATAGTCCGTATGATATTCTCGTTACTTGACCTTTATATCAATAGCCCTTTTAATATTCATTGCGTAATGAGTGATTGATATATAGTTTATAGTTAAATAAAAATCAAAAAAAGTACAAAGAACATTTATACTTTCCTTTCTTCGGAGTTCATATATGTGAAAATATTACATATGATTATAACATATATACATATGTAAAAACTAATTATTTTTATTAAATTTTCAAAGCAGTATTTTCATTGGTACTTTAATTATCGATATATTTCATTGCTATTTATTATCAAAGATGTAATAAATGTAAAAAGTATGAAGATAATAATTATGTTACAGTGAATATTCGTTTATCATACTCGATGCTGAGTTAGTCGTAGTCGACAGGTCACTTTGCTTTCATTAAAAGATGATGGAAAATAAATTGCTTTAAGTGAACATTTACTGAAGAAACTTTTAATAATATAAAACTACTAGGTTATAGTAAATACATAAGAAGGAATAGGATTAAAATTCAAATTCGAAGGATTACAGATAAGTTTATCGATTTTACTTACTATAGAAAAAAGTCTCTGTAGCTTAGTATTATTGCTTAAAACGTTAAATGAAAATGTTTTTAGCAATGTTAACCATGTCTTCAACTCCACAGCTTCGTTCTACCCAATTATAGAACCCCTATGTGGTTAAAGTAATTTGATCTAATTTAATAATACCATAGCTATAACATGTGATTACCATGTGACCTTCCGCCTCAGTGGGGTTACATCAGAACCTTATTAGACTGAACTATTTTGTACAATATTATCTAAATACAGCGCAAACGTGACCTTTTTAAAATAACGAGAATACTCAATTTAGTGATTCGACCGAGTCAATCTCAGCCCTTTATAGATACAAGATTAAATTAATACTCCCTACGAAAATTCAAATACTGATGCGTCTTTGTGGACTAATGTAGTTACTATATATAGAATTCAGAGCATTCGTCTAAATAAAAGTACATGAATATATTTATAGGCTGAGAGGAATCTTAAGAAATACGGATAGAATTTTTATTAAGTTTTGTACAATGGTATCTGAAACAACGTAGTTACATGTTGTACTTTTTTTTACTATTATGGTTGCCATATTTAAATTGAGTAAATTAGGTTAAGAAATTTATAAAACTTGGATTTTTGTCTTTAAAACTTATTTTATCGTACCCTATTAACATAATAAATGCAAAATTTTGTAACAATGGATGTTTGTTACTCTTTCACGTAAAAGCTATTGATTTGAATAAAATTAGGTACAAGATTAGGTATAGCCTTACTTAATACATAGAATAATTTATATATTTACAAATTCATATGGCCAAAACTGCGGAGTACAGCTAGTTTACAAATATTTTCCTTTACTTATATAAGATATGGTACATATGGAAATTATATCTTTAAAACGTGGAGCGCATAATAGATAAAATTAGCTATCCCGGGCTATCCCGGTTATCTCAGACAGCTTGCAATCCTGTTTTCTATCTTCACCTATTTAGTTCTCGGCACAAGTTCACCTTGACATAGATGGTTCTGTGTTACTGTCGTACTGTTATTTAATTCAGCTCTATGAATAATACATGCAGATATTAGGTTAAAAAGTAATTTATAGTTTTTCGGTAAATCAAAGAATCCGCCATCATTTCAGGGTACCATAGTTTTCAAAAAAATATTTAATAAATCTATTATCACCAAAATATTGAAGAAATCTGTCTTTTTTTTTATTATTAACATCTTTTTTTATTTTACATTATTGTCAAGGAGGTTTCAGAACATTAAGTTTTGTGGAATCATTACTAATTTTATTGAATATATTTGAACATATGTTACTAAAGCTGAAAATATTGAAATTAATTGTGCTATGCGCCAAGATAGAACATATCCTGAAGTGCATCTTGTAGGATCTGTTAATGATGACCGTATCCATCATATAGTATTTTTTGAATATGATGGTCTTTAGTTATGGACATCGTTCACGTACCCATATGTAAGGAAATGAAAGAGTAAGTGTAGAGAAATTGATACAAATCCAGGTTAAAAATAAGTATAAGGAAACATTGATCGAAAGGTTTAGAGAACTACTGATAAAGATGTTTGTGAGATAGAAGAATTTTGGAAGGATTTAAAAATAGAATCATGGAAATAGCTATACAAGTTTGTGGTGTAAGTAAGAGGAAGGATATTAAGATGGCAATGAATTTGTGGTGAGACGATGAAGTGAAGATAATGTGGCTCTAAAGAAAATGCATGAATAGTTGGCATTTGAAAAAAATCAAAAGAGAAGTATGACATGAGGAAATAAATAAGTACGATTGAATTAAATTAGACGCCAACACATAGCGCTTTCAAGACTTAATGAATCACTATGAAATTTGGTATACACGTACTACATGGGATGGAGAAAGATATTGACTACTTTTTATCCCAGCCAATGAACATGTCCTAGTCATACGTACGAAGTCGCGGTAAAAAGTTAGTAGAACATAATCCACTAGTACAGCGGATGCCACGTATCATTAATCCTTTGTTCCAATTGAATTAGTCTTATTACGTTCATGCCTTAGGGTTCATATGCTGGGTGTTAATTGTGTTAACATTTTAATTTGCATTTCGTATAATGTGGTTTAACGAACTTTATTTGTGTAATATGTCTCTTGTGATTATGGAAAATCTTTTTTAAATAATGAACAACAGAAATAGTGCAAAGGGCAAACGTCAACATATTTAGGGTTAGAATTGGACGAATTTATGAATATGTAACGATATGCGCATGCCACTTTATTATTACATAATAAGGGCTTTAGATTCTGCGATGGAAATCACCAGGGATGTAGTGACTTTGAAAATTTTCAAAGGGTAATGAAGTATATGGAAATGGAAAAGAGGAAGTAGCAAAACCATTAATAGGCTCTTTGTTATACTTACTAATTTGTTGATTTAATCTTTTAGCAATATTAAAAATAGATAATTATTTGGTAGCAACTGAATCATTCAATAAGAAGTAACAGTAAAATAGAGATTTTCAATTGGCCGAGTATTATTATTTTTTGCATGTATATTATGCGATATTTTCTTCAAATCTGAATTGTGAAATTACTATCTTATTGTGGTGTAATTAAAGTCGAGCCTAAAATACTTATTATGATCAACAGGAGCTCACTTACGGCGGGCGGCGTCACAGGAGGCTGAGAAGAGACGCTCCTCACTGGGCCACGTGCCTACGATACGTCACCGAGCTTCTGATGCGTTCCTGGATCCACATCATGCTGCCATTCTTTTTAGGGACTCGAGAGGTGTAAGTGATCATATTGTACTAAAATTTTAAAATTATTGTTTCGTATTCTGTGGCCATTATCAAGACCCCTAATATCAATTTATCTTAAATATAAATATCTCCCATGTACAGATATTATTTCGTAATGATTTTATTATATTATTAAGATAATACATAGAAGGCAACGTCCTGATTTCCATGTATTATCTTTCTTGTATTCTATACCATTAAATTTCTTCTTTCCATCTTGTCTTTGTGTAGGGGTTCATTTTCTTGTTCCCACTGGCACGTCCAGTAGGTCGAGTAAGCTTCTCATTCTCAAAAGCCCTCCTCATACTTTCTCATGTTATAGTGGATCATTTACCGTTCATGCGGTTTGACTATGGAACTCTCTTCCACTGCACATTCGTAAAAGTCAATCGCTGAATGTTTTCAAGAACAAATTAAAAGAGCATCTTCTGTGCTCTTAAATTTATTATGATTATATAGTATGAATATATGTACGTATTTTGTGTATATAAATGTGTAAAAATATGTAAAATAATAAATACATAATAATAGTAAGTACTAGTATTATACTATACAGTCTCCGCTTCTTATTGTACGCACACTGTAAATTAGATAATTGGAAAGGAGCATTAATTACTTATTGTAATTAATGCTCCTTTCCATTCAAGGTTTAATGGAAAAGAACTCTTACAGGGTTAAGCTCGCCTGTTGTACATCATTATTTTATATAAATTATAACAATATAATTTGTGTGTACAATAAAGTATAAATAAATACATGAGATTGTATTTACCTATATATATATATATATATATATATATATATATATATATATATATATATATATATATATATATATATATATATAGACCTGATAGAGAATACCATCAGGTATACAGGTCAGCTGTTGCGCTGGACAGAGACAATAAAAGCACTCTATTCTGTCATATATATACATAAAATTATTAGGTATGCTTATTTATTTCTGAGTAATGGTGGCATAGCTCTTCTGCTAGATTAACAGTAATAATTTGCTCTTACCTTGTCACTGTAACAAATAATACTACAGTAATTTCAAATGTCATAAAGAATAAATGAAATTGCTGACATAGTTTACGTTTTCCCTTATCTAAGTTTTAATAAAATTACTTTTTGGAGTTTCGAGTACTTTTTTTTAAGTGATAGTGAACTTTTTTAAGAAGTAGTGTATATTGTATATATTATATTGTCGTGTAACGAAAATATTGCAATTTAATTAAATATGGACTAAGGTTATGTTTCTAGAGCTCCAAAAAGTTTCAAAAAGTACTGACTATGTATGTTTCTGTCGAAATAGTAAACATTGACTTCTTTAGTTAAAAATGGACCGCTTGCTCATCGTCCTTCTAATGTTACTCGTCACCTAAATTATTTTAGGTCCCGTCAATAACGTATTATATAACGCTTATGATACAATGATATAATTCCAATCTACGGAATATACCTACAGGTTTCGGCGTAAATAATGGAAATCTATCTATACGCGTATCCGCATTCACGAGACAATGCGTGTCTTATTATCGTTGTTCGATGACAAAGTGGCAGGTTTAAAGGATATTGTCAGTGTGTTCTGTCTTATACATTATTTTTATATTTAATATACAGGTGGATGTATCTCCAATGAAATGAATTATAAAAAATATATTTGTAGAGTGAAATTGAAAATGTTTGTTTACGATGGATGTTTGAGTATTTTTCATTCATGGTGTTTCAAGTTTGCTGCACTTTAGTTTCGTAGACATTTGCATTGACCATGTATATATATCATGTGTATATATATATATATATATATATATATATATATATATATATATATATATATATATATATATATATATATATATAATTATTGCTATTATTTTGTCACATTAACACGGTTCTCTTTTTAATGAACAAACCAATATTTTATAAGTCTGTGATCGTACGAATATTTTTATTAAATTACACCGATCAAGACGAGGATGGGCAACAGTGTCCCTTTTAAAACATCACTGAAGAGTAACTGCGGTTGTCAACCCGCCTTTGAAGCATAACTTAGTAGTTGTCACGCTTGGAAGGTGGGTTGACAACCCTTCTTATGAAGAGGCTTATGTTCAGCAGTGGTCAGTTAACAACTGATATAATGACACCCATAAAGTTATGAATGAAACCGTAAATTCAATACATTTTGATTTTACTTTACATATATATAAATGAGGTAGTGTAATAGCTCAAACCATTACCTACTCTATCCCATATAATATCCAACTTTACAACCCTTAAATTTATTACTATTTATGACTGCAATCCACATCTGCCGCGTTAACTAATACGTTTATAATACAAGATATATGTATGTATATAATTCATAAATAAGTCAAGATTGTTAGTATCCTTTGAACTTTGTGTTCTACCAGTAAAACTAAATATTTTAGTAAAAGAGACATGCATTGAAAAACGACAAATTTATAGTTTTCCTTATTAAAACGACGTGTTCAGTTGTTGCGTTAGTATGTGAGACTCGTTTAATTGATTTTCGATTTTTATTTTTCAAAATTTCTCCTCTAATATGTGCCCATGATAAATATAGATAGATTTCTTAGTTTCACGAAACCGCTTACAATTTCATCCTGTATATCGATAACCTTTTCACTCTAGCGATAGTATAAACTTTAGTGACCTCATTCTTTTTATTGTTCGTCGGTGTGATAATCGTCTTATCTATGCCCGTACTAACAATTTCAAATCAAATTGTGGTCAAGAATTTTAAACGGTATAACTGGGAGTATACTGTGAATAGAAATTTCGTATTCTCAATTTCGTATTTTTGTTCATACCGTACTTGATCCAGCAAATGGAGCTTAACATTTCGTTTGTCATCAATCATATCATAAAAGTCCAAAGGCACGATATTTTAACATTTTAAACGGCATATATCATGTAATTTTAACAAAAAATATAAATAAAAACCTTTCATGGCAGGCGCTCTGTAGTGCCGTTTGAATTTGAAAGTGCTGTAGTATACGTACATAGGTTCAACATATATATTTTATTTTTATTTCATTATTTCGTCATTATAATTATTTTTGTAATAAGTTCGGTGATTTTATAACTATATTACATATGTTGTAGACAAAAATCTGAAATTGGGTTATTTATGTATGTAATAATAACTTGTACGTCCATAACGCTACATGACATGTATCTATAAGTTGTAGCAATAAAAAGGAATAAGTCGATACCAGCCTACTGAGGCATCACACAACTACATATATAAAATGCCAATTAAATGTCAATTCAATATGTATGTGCTTCCGTAATTTCACGGAAGCATATCTATATTTTAGCAGTTTGGCTTTAATGGAAATATTTCTTTTGTTGTAGCTACCGGTTGCAGATCCATTTTTGGAAAAAGTCAATCTCTCCGATCTCGGTAAGTATTGTTGTCTTATTTTTATTACTAAAGTCAGTGAGTGTCATCGCGAGGAAAAAATAAATTGTTTCATTAATTCTTCATGTTTAAAAAAAAAAGCCTTTAACTTGCGGAGGACGTGGCGGTATGCACATTTCTCTCGTTTTTGCCCTCCAAAATTTTATATCCATAATACTTATTTAATTCTTGGCACATGGAAATATATAGGTTTTACTTTTGCGTCTTTGGGATGTGAATCTTAGTATTTATAGATTTTAAGAAGTGTCTGTGTCGTAAACATACAAGGTAGACTTAGAACGTTATTTATAGAGTTATTGCTCGAATAACGTCTGATTACGTCATTGTAAGCCCAATTTGATATCAATTTAGATAACTAGGCTTTCACTAGACATTTTGTTGAGCTAGAATACAGGCTATTTGTGGAGGGACATATTGCTTTCATAATTATGTTCACAGCATGTGGTTTCTCTTATTTTATTAAGTGACTTCGAAAGAGACGTAAAGATATCAATGGGATAGCAATGTCGACATGATTTGAATTATTAAAAAAGATATGTTGCTAATCATTAAGAGTTTAAGGACGAGTGTCAATAAGTCCTAAGGATTTTGAAGGGTAATTGTAAGTAACGTTAAGGCACAATAAATGAAAATACTTTAATATAGGTATATGTAATAAGAATGAATCAAAGATATTTAGGCAATCTAATTAACAAATTAGTAAACTGATTTAGATTATGACTAATTATTTATGAAAATTATAAAAAGAATTAATCTGGGGTTTTGCTATTTCTTGTTATTATTATTTTGTTTTTGATGTTGGAAGAAATATTAAAGACTCTATTTTAAACTATATAAAAACGAAAATAATTATAAAATGTAAGAAATGTTGTTTAAACCGCACGAAGTATATAGTCTAGTATTAAAATGTATAAACAGGGTTCTGTGATGTTATTTAATTTTTCGTGATTGACAGAGGAAATTACTTAGGTTGTTGACGCTTATCCTTTAATGTAGTTCTAAATCAATTATAAACTGGCTGACCCGACAGTCGTCGTCTGTCAAAAGCTATTGAACTGCGGCAGCCGTTTACCCAAACAGGTAGGTAACAATTAATGGAAAAATAGAAGTAGACAATTTTTCTAATTTTTCTCTTAATAATATATATATATATATATATATATATATATATATATATATATATATATATATATATATATATATATATATATATATATATATATATATATATAATTCATGCTTATTTATATGCAGATTAGCTAAATCTGTAATTAGTCTTTTTACCATAATAAATTTACAATTAATATCAAACGGGAGATTGAAATGCCTCTTCTGACCCCAATAACGGATAAAAAGGTAATATGTTATTTATGCTTTAATTAATGCCATTTCCATGGTAATCATTATGTCTTTATAGTAAATCCCTTTTGTGGTAGAAAATTTAGAGACAAACGCTTAAATGCAGCTAATTTGATATGTGATTTGGTAATTGGATATTTGTCTTATACATAAAGTTTTTTAAATATCGAGAGGGGTCTAGCTACAAATAGTTCTGAGAGTCTACTTTATTTATATAAACGTAAATCACTCTTGACTACAGCTATTAACTCAACCTCATTAATTTGAAAACAGTAATTACTGTTTACCACCGTAGCTACCTTTAATTACATCAGAACATCAAAATGGGGGAAGTGTTCAATTCGCTTGTATTCTTTGTGTTTATTTTTCGAATTCTGAAACGACCTAATAATTCTTTTCGCTTCTGAAATCTATGTGGTTTACTTTCGTGTTGGTTTTAATTATGTCACAACTAATGTTTTTATACGCTCGATATATTGCTTACTATGGAGCAAATTCTATTAAAAAAAAAAAACACAATTCTGCGTTCTAAATTCAAATGTTTTAAACGTGTTTACGGAACGGTTAGTGGGTTATCACAAAAGTTTGTTTTCAGGCAAGAGATTTCTGAACAGTTGTGAAAAAAATATCGCAGTTTTTGTACGAGATGAAATCTGTTTTCTATTATCCAATATAAAATTAACGCGCATGTGACTATATTGATTAAGTTTTTATCGCAAAAGCAATAAACTGTCACTTTGATCGCATGAACTTTTATGATTGGTATAATATCGATAAACCAAGTTTATCGTCGTCCATTCTCCTATTTTTATTTTTCTCTTTAGCGTGCTTACCTGTGAACGTCAATATGCGCCTTAAGTGTAAACTTTACTGTTTTGTAAATATGAAATCAACGAGTTAGTTTATAAAGTGTAAAACGTACTCCACAAGTTTACTCATGAGCGCTTTGTGTGAGCTCTCATAAGTACATTTATATTTTTTTTTTTATAAAAGTTTACATTTTCCAAGAGTGTGTAGTTTTCTAACTTATACGTTAATAGAACTATTTCTCACTGCTTTATTTTTAAGTATTTGAGTAATTTTGTTTTTATGTTTAACTTTAGAATAAAATTATTTATTTAAATATCTTTAAAATATTAGTAATAAATAGAATTTATAATTTTATAAATTGGATATATATTTATAATTTTAAAATAAATAATATGTATTTATAAATAGGAAAGTGCGTTTTTATTTGTTTATTTGTTACCTCTTGGAGCATTATTATTCATAATATAGATAGACATTATTAGCTGAATTAATCGTTATTAAGTTTAGCATACACGTAGTAGAAAGGAGAATGGAATAGACTGGGATATCAGTCAATCAATGAGATCGGGGTTACACGGATGAATGCACTAGTAAATTGGTTACTCTTTTGAGGTGCGTTAATTACTTTAGTTACGACGTTTATAAATGAGTTCGTTACTGTATTACTAACATACTTACGTTAAACCATTAATGTAGTGAGTAATAAAACAACATCATATTAAATTCTATCGACTGCAACATAATCACAAATAAAAAAAAAAAACTCAAGTTGTGCATCTCCTTTTAGAAGTCGCTTAAAAATTCAAAAAATATTATAATGACATGAAATGAGTTTCTTTTTATCCCTCAAAACGGACATAGGGCTCACAAAAGGTAATATTATGTATATTATTCTTAATTGGTGTGAGTGAGAATAATAATTATGCTTTAATTTTGTGTCATCAATTTTTATTCATTATTCAATATACTAAAATAAAACGTGGTTAGCTAATTATCATGAGACCAAAGTACCAAACTCGTAATCGAATATATCAAATATTTTTTGCGTCTGCTTGCCTGAAGTCTTATCTCGGTAACAAGAATTCAGTTTATGGCATTACTCTTATTGGTTATTTTGTATCGGTGCTTATCGATATTACGATAAGTTGGCAAAATTGTTTGTGACGTTGTATTCATAATGAAACTCAACCTTCGAGATATGACATGTATCCACTTATTTAAAAAATGTGTACTTAAGTACATATGACGTTTAAGAATTATTTTGAAGTGATTGTTTTAATTTATTTTTTATAATTTAAATAAGTATTAAATTTATTCCGTCTATATAAACCTTGGGTTTTACCATATTATAATAGCACCTCAAGCCTCAAAGGAGCCAATATAAAAAGTCTTTCAATGACACTGATGTGATGTGTAATCATTTTTATTTTGAACTGATAGATTTTATAGATTTGTTTAGACAGGATATTATCTAATTTAACTCAGAAGTGAAATTAATATTTAAATCCGGTAAACGCTATTTAATATTAAGTATTAAAAACTAGTTTTTTTCCTACGGTTTTGCTGTCGTGCATTAATATGTATAGTATCCTACGTCCTAAATTAGAATACCTACTCACGTAACAAATTTCGTTCAAATCTGATTATCCATTTAATCGTTATTAACAAACATCTTTACTAATTATAATATTAGATTTGAATATTATGTTTGGATGTTTCGACGTTTGCCACTCAATCATGGTTATATTAAACGAATTTAAATGGACTTGGATACATATAAATTTAATCAGAAGCAGTTTTTTAACAAAATTCATGTGGATTGTTTTTTTTTCATGAAAATGTAATAACAAATTCAGGGTTGCGCTCCTGCTCTATTGGTTTATGCTGGCAGGATACTGATAAGGGATAGTAGGTGAGGATAAATCCAGAAAAAAATAGCTTACTGTGCGTGAAAAGTTCGCCTGGAATTAATTACTGCAACATCCAGATACGACCTAATAGGATATATTGATAACATTGGGATAGTTAGAGACCGTTCCTAATATCCCTTTCTCCTATACAGATGAGTATAGAATACACACCTCTGTTTTCCATTTCTAGTTACGTAAAGCTATATCCTGTTCTAGAAACCCAAATAATTATCTGCATTTGACGTATTCTAAACGTTTGTCCTACTTTTGACAGAATCCACTCCTATAAATAAAATTAATTGCCAAGGTTTGGTATCTAACCCGGAACCCAAGGCTTCTAAGTATTTATTCACTGGTAGGTATTGCTTAATAAACGTACTGATGAAACAGTATATATATATATATATATATATATATATATATATATATATATATATATATATATATATATATATATATATATATATATATATATATATATATATTTATATACACTTCGTTAATTTTGCTTCCCTGTATTTTAAGCGATTTAAAAACAAGAACGTTTTAATTAGTCTGTATTTTGTTTTTCTACGCTTGTTACTCGATGCCTTTGTTGATACTAAACGGATTTTAATGTTTATTTTCCAATTGATAGGATTTACTCCTATGTTGTTGATGTCTTATTAATTGTATAAGCGAAGGGGCTGTTTCTTATTTGTTGTGCTGTGCAAAATTTTATATAAACAAATTAGCTTTTTTTGCCAAAATGTTTAGTTAAAAGATATCTTTCTTTTTATATACATATATATATGAACTAATTACATTTATTGTGTCCAGCAAAGAATAATATCTTTATATATTTATAAAAATTAAAACCTCTTAAGTATGGAAGACAAAAAACTAATAGTGAAAATAACCTAT